ACTACTGTAGTTCTGATTCAACAAATTTGTTGAATAGATTCAACAAATACGAATACAAATAAATCACCATCAATTTTTCTAAGAATTTATACTTCGGTGGAGGAATTAGTTTATGAATCTGGCATCTCTTTTACTGCAAGGTTCTGAACAGGCTAGGATCAAGTGACAAAGACATTCAGATCGGAGGTGGGGATGGGGTACATAGTATAGAATAACAGTTTTCAGAGAATTTAAGGGAAATGTAAATGTCTTACTATATAATTAAGTATAAAATTATATATAATTGCACTGGATATGATTTTTTTTTAGTGGAAAGTGTCAGTAATAGAGTAAAATATGCAATACCTTGTATCTGGGTAGAGCTTTAATATTTTTAGTGTCTTGTTATATATTGCATAATTTTATAGTAATGTATAATTGTGAACTTTTTGTTTTTAGAACATCATAGGATCAAGTCCTGTTGCAGATTTCTCTGCTATTAAGGAACTAGATACTCTTAACAATGAAATAGTTGACCTACAGAGGTATGTAAAGCAAAATTACAGCCTACTCATACACACACACACACAGACACACACAGACACACACACACAAAGTACATACATGTATATATGTATACAACCTCTTCCCCACACACACCTTTCTGTTTCTAATGTATATTTTGATAAATGCTACCTTATTTGGTTAAGTACCACAGTTCTGTTTGAACGGAGTCAGGGTACTTCATCATATATGAGGCAGCCTTTAATTGCAGGATACACTATATACTTACGTACCACTGAAAAGTCACTGCCAAATAAACAATGACATGCCATTAACTATAAGGTACTGTTTGATTTCATTTAGAGAAAAATGTGAAAAAATGTATATCCTAGAATGACTGAAAAATAGTTTTTCTCCAACCTTAGATATTTGAATAATATATTAGAAAAACATTATCATTTAATACATTTAATAGCTGGAATGTTAAATTCAGACACCATGCCAAGAGCTTTCATAATTGTTACTTGACCCTCACACAAACCTTGTAATTTGAAATAGGTGGTGGTGTTTCTGTTTTACAGGTAAGAAACTTAAGATGCTTAGATTATTTTGCCCAAAATGATACAAGCTTGTCAGCTGTAGAGCTAATACCTGATCCCAGGACTACTTTATTCTAAGTTGAATCTTCTTTCTTATACATAGGTACTATGTAGGACAGACTCAAATACAATTAGATTTGAATCTGAGTATAGCAGATAGTATTGGTACTTCCTTAATTTCTGTGTTCCCTGGAAACTTTGTAGTAATACTGATTGTAAAAATGACTATAAAATTACTTTTTAAAAATAAGACAGTTTTTCTGTCTACAGGGCACTGTATCTAAATATTCACACCAATCTTTTTCTTTTTTTAACCCTCACAACACTTTGAAGCAGATAATGGCTGATATACTTCATTTTACTGACAATATTGAGACATAAGGAGATTAAATGAGTTAACTGCCTTATATGGCAAGAATTTGGCAATGATCTTAACCTTATCTGTGAGACTATATTGAGATTTCTGTAGAAAAACTGGTTGTTAGAATTTTTCAGTTGTAAGAAAGAACTAAACCCAAACTAACTTAAGAGTGAAATTTATTGACATGTGAAACTGAAACCTTTCAAAGGTAGGGTTGGCTTAAAGCATTCCTTGATATTGAGGCTCAGATGATATAATCAGTTCTCTTACTCTCCATTTCTTGTTTCCATTTCCGCTGGGTTAATTCCATTCTCAGATAGACTTTCTCCCTATTTTGGCAAGAGGGCTATAGTACATCTAGCTACATGTACTTATAATTTCAAGTTTGGTGAAGAGCGCCTCTCTTCTGGCATTTCCTGGAAAAGACCTGAAATTCAGTCTAATTGGATTGGCTTATTGGCCTTTTCCTATGACATAAAACTTCTAATATGGAAATCCGACCAGGACAAAAAACCCTTCATGGTGATTGTATAGTTTAATTTTGTCCTTACTAATGGGAAAAAAAAAAATCAAATCCAGAGTTACACATCACGTTAAGAGACAGTACTGGTATCAAAACCAGGTTGTATAAGTTCAGCATTCTTTCTGTTGTACAATTCTGCCACTCATTAGGATTTTTAAGTTTTTGACTTTGGTTCAAAATAGAAGTAGTAAACACTTAATTACTGAATCTATAATGGTGTTTAGACTTCTCATTTTCATGTGGTCCATAAACATTTTTGCTTCCCTATATATGTTATATACATGTTATAGTAGGTACATTTGAAAATACTTATCTTCTGAGCCTCTTAAGCCTATGAAAATGGATACATACACCAATGTTCTAGGACTTGCTTGATTTGACTTCGAGTGTACTTGTTTAATGTATAAAATATTTCTATAATGAATTTTAATGGGAATTAGAGCATCATAGATAAAATGCTCTTACTGTTGAAAACATTATTTGTTACACTTTGGTCAACTAATCTTTCAATAACTTTTAGTAACTATAATGTTAAGTTGTACCAGTGGCAGTCTTATATAGTAAATGACAGCTGGCAACATGAAAATAACGTACCTAATATTTTGTGACTGTCTTATTATGAAAATCAGAGGATTTCAAAACCTTGCTAGTTTTTAGGGTATAGTCACATTTTATAAATGTGTGATGTATTTATACATGATTTGATGTTTGTGAAAATATTTTTGCTAGACTTATTTTAGGTGAGCTCTACAGTGTAGGCAACTTACATAATCTGTCAACTCCATTAGTGTCATAGTCAGACTCATCCCCATGCTAAAATTATAGTTGTTAAAATATGCTTTTGTAAGTAGTTGTATTAGGTCATTATCACCAAATCTTCAAGGTATTACATTATAAAAACCTTGGTTTTTATTCTTGTGAATGACTGTTTTTTCCGTGCCAAGTTAAAATTCTTCAGCCTTTAATTTTTTTTTTTTTTTTTTTT